GGTGGTGTAATTAAAATGGATCAGCAGCTGGTGAATAACAACCCCGAGACTGTAGCAAAATCTTAATGAAAGTAAACCCAGAGAGGTGTCCCTACCTCTTGAGAGTATTTTAACAGTGTTTCTGGGTCTTTAAAGAGAGATATCAGAAAAAGATTACAATTACAAAGCATCCATATTAAAACGTTTTCGACGATCATTTCGTATCTTTTTGGCACTAGAAGTAACTTTTCAAAGGCTAAAGAAAACCAAGAGGGATAGGTTGATGTAAACTCCATTTGAGATTTGAAAATTTGCCAAAATAGAGTATTCCAAATGAACTTGAGAGTTAGTAGAGGGAATAAGAAAAGGAGCTTCATCCTATGTGTTTGTTTACGAAACAAAGAAATGTCTTTTCTTAAGGTCCCGGAGCTCTTCCATGAAATTGCTAAAGGATTCTTTATTTGCTGTATTTGCTCCTCTGGGTGGGTGCTATTGCTGGTCTGTGCAGATGACCAGCATGAGACACACGTAAGACCAGGGCTCAGGAAGGCATTTCTTCAACTCTGGAAGTGATTAAACCTCTTGTCCACTGAAGACAAACCCAGCCTTCCTCTGGGGAAGCCTCTCTTTAAAAGAGAATTTAGTATGTCTAAGCTTTGGATCTTATATGATTTTAAGGGTGAAAAGTCTTTAAAGGCTTTGGAGATGAGTGCTTATCCAGAGATTTTAGAGAATTCTCAAACAGATTTTCAGTTGTCAGTTTTAGTTAGTAATGGTGAAAGTGTTGCTGGTTTTGCTTTGTGTTTTCCTTTCCTCTGTGTTTATAAGGATTGTTTGTTCTCTTTCTTTTTCTTTTTTAGGATTGTTTGTTCTATATTCAGGTCTTGCCAACGTATCAGCAGAGCTTTTCCTGACTGTCTCTTTCATTATTTATGTAACCTCCACCCCTTGTTTCTGAGATTATTCCAGCAAAGTAGGAAGTAAACCGACACGTCCAGTTCTTTTTATACCAAGGCTAGATCCTTTTCTGGGACATTCTGTAGCATTTGTTTACCTTCTTGCCTTTTGATCTTGCCATGGACTGAATCGTATACTCATTTCCTCAATCATAAATGTTCTCAGAATATTGAGTTATGTCACCCATAAATGATATGAGTCATGGGTCTGACTCCTATGTGTAGAACATTCCAGAGAGGCAGAGGTCTCCTTGGGTACAGGAGTGACTCCCTCACTCTCCTCCCCTCCACCACCAACTTAGGTATCAGTTGAAAAGTAAATAAACATCTTTAAGCATACAAGGCATAAAATAGCATTTGTATTGAAAGAAAATGTTACAGCCAGGATGTACTTTCCTTAAAAAAAAAAAAAACCAAAAAAACCCCAGAAAACAATTCACTTTTTAAAAGTCTAGCAAATTATTATATGCCATGTTAGAAAAAGTGCAGGTCAGACCTGGGCCGAACTGGTTTTGAGCAATCAGAGTTTTGGTCTACGTAGAGTATTTTCTTTGCTTCTAAGATTTGCAAAATTTATAGGTGAATATATGTTTTTGAAGTTTCTTGTCTTGTATGTTATGTGTGATTAAGGTGGCCTATTAGCAAACTGGTTGAGAAAACCAGGTTTTCACCACCGTTCTGGCCTTTTAATATCTGTAGTACTTTATACTAGTTACTAATGTCCTTTGTCTACTTATTCTTTGGTTTGAAAAAGGAGGTGGTTCATACCTAAATATTTACCTTCTTTGAAAAACTGTTGTCAACAGAGATCATGTGGGGATATACAGAATGTAAAATCAGCAGGAGGGGTGCAGCTGTTTGACACAACAGTTCAGTCATTATAATGGTGAAATTGTAGAACAGATCAATAACTTTGATTACATAAAGAATGTAGAAAAGCTTCCCAAAAGGAAATGGGGTAAACATTGAGCATCCGGGATGTGCCAAATGGAGCCAGCCATAGAACATGAGGAAGGGTCCCATAGGGGTTTCTAGAGAAGGATAAAACTGAGCTGAAGTAAAGTGACCATACATCTTGGTTTCTTCAAGGATCAGTATAATGTCTGTTCTGGCACAACTAACAATAGCACCCACTTTGACTCTCAAAGGTGTCTTGTTTAGACAGTAAAATATGTAGTGGCCCTAATTACTGGTTGGTACTCCACCTCCCTCATTTTTTCTCCCATATGTAAAATGAGACAAAGGTGATATGATTTGCCTGAGGTCATACAGGAAGTGAGTTGTTGCCAAAGCTGGGACTAGACCCTGAACCTCCTGAATCTAGTGTTCTTTCTGGTAACAAATTTGAATCTTCCTACTGAGATGCCACCAGTCAGACTAGTCCACCCCTTCCTTGCCATTTCGCCCTTTTTCCCTAGAAGGGAAACTCCAGGAAGCCCCTTGCTATTTCAATTTTTTTTTTAATGTTTATTTATTTTTGAGACACAGAGAGAGCATGAACGGGGGAAGGTCAGAGATAGAGGGAGACACAGAATCCGAAGCAGGCTCCAGGCTCCGAGCTGTCAGCACAGAGCCTGACGCGGGGCTTGAACTCACGAGCCATGAGATCATGACCTGAGCCGAAGTCAGATGCTTAACCGACTGAGCCACCCAGGCGCCCCACCACTTGCTATTAAATGTGAGAAATTATTAAAACGTGAATTGTATTCTTAGGTCCATAGACTAAAAAGGAAAAACATTTGTGGAAACTCAGATGGTAAATTTAGGGCATCATATTGTTTCAATTCCATAATAAAAAACAGAATAGATGGTGCAGGAAGACTTCTCTGAGGTGACATTTGAACTGAACCCTGAGTGACAAGGGGGAGTCAGCCTGTGGGAAAACGCAGGGCCAGAATGTTCTAGGCAAAGGAAACAACAAATGCAAAACTTCTAGAGAAACGAGTTTGATGTTGTCAAACTTGGCTTGAACATCGTGAAAATGGCTAGATCAGAATAAACCAAGGAGAGAGTGGGTGGTCAAGAGGCCAACAGAGGCCAGATCATTTCAGAGCAGAGCTATTCCAGTATGTCCCGTGGGCCATCAGTCCTCAAACCATAACCTCCTGTGCATGAGGGAAGGAATTAAGAACTTAGAGCATTTCGACATTTCTGCATCATCAAAGCATGTGATTATTTTAACAGTAACTCATTTTTGTTGTATTTCTAAGAACACTTGGTTCACAGTGGATGGGATAGGAGGTTGAGGTGGGGGGGCGGTGAAGACTGGTTCTTCACCACACGTATTTTGAGAAGCAAGCATGTAGAGCCTTTTAAGTCATGGCAGGAAGTTCTCCGGAAGATTGGAATGGGGGCAGAAGAGAGCAAATAGGGTCCTGGTGCAGTAGTCAAGGGGAGTCCTGGCAGTGGCTTGGGCTGTGGTCTGAGAGGGGAGATAGAAACACGCTATTTTGGAGGCAGAGAATAGGATGAATTTACGGATTGGATGAGTTGGGGTGGCTGTGAGAGACGAATTGATGATGTTTTGGATTTTAGGTTTGAGCAGCTGGTACCATGTTAAGTTGTTCCTTAAGGGTCTTCAGTATGACTTCTTCCTCTGCGTCCCTGTTAAGGCTGTTCCATCGAAAGATGAGTAGTGGCTTCCTAGTTGCCCCATTCAACAGTCTTCCTTTCTTTACCTCCAGTGTCATTTCATTTTGTTGACTGTTCAGCTCATTCACCCTGACTCCCTTTTTGAGATTTTTTTCTTCACCTGTTATCTGTACTCTCTTAGCTTTCCTTCCATTTCTAACCATCCTTATTCGTTCTCCCATCAGAAATGCAGCTTACCTGAGCCAGTCAGCTACCCACTGCTTTCCCTAAACACACATTTCTGTAAGTGGTAAAGTGGTACCACTGGCACCATTTCGAGTTGATCCAATCTGGAGACTGGTGTCATATGTGATGCTTCCAGGTCTGAACAAATTTGTCATCTGCCAGTTCTTCCTGTGCAAAAGTCCATTGCATCTTTCCACATTCCCGAGGACAACCTATGTATCACTTCTCTTTTGAGACACCCTGTAGTGTCCTAATGATTCTCCTTCTCTCCAGTCAGTTCTGTGTGGTTTTATTACTAATCCCTACACTCAACTCCAGCTTTGTCTTTTGTCTCACTTTTGTCCGTGGCCAGTTCCCAATACATATTTTTGGGACTGACCCATAATTAATATAGTTAGCTTTTCTAGAAGGCAAGGTAGAATAAATAGTAACCACGTGTAGGGAAGTATCGCTTCCCTGTCAGTCTTTATCTATTCACTGTCCTTTTTGTGCTGCTGAGGCAAGTGTTCTCTACGTTCCACTTGTTTTTCAAAGATTGCTATAAAGGATGTGGTTAAAATTTTCTTAGGATGTACATCTAACCCATGTAGATGGTGTTATCTCTGTCTGCCGTTCAGAATCTCAAGTCACATTGTTAATGAGACAGTAGTCTGTGAAAGGTACAAAAGCTTATCTTTTATAAAAGGACAAAGGATGAATATTTTACCGCTGTCATTCTTCTCCCTCTGGGCCTTTCTAGAGGAATGTGGGAGCCGGAGAGCCCCCATTGTCTGCCTTCATTAAGAGGAAGCACACACAGCTACAGCTGGCACAGACCAGAGGCTGCAGCAAGTGGCGTCCTTGGCTTCCTGGGTTTACAGTGGAATGTGAATGGCATTTGGGCTCCGTGTATGCGGCCGTGAGACATCAGGACACGCTCAGTGACAAACGCACATTTTCTTTACCCATTGTGTTGAGCTGTAGGATATAATCACCTTAAACCATAATCAAAGATCCTTCTCAAAATTTCTCCCTCACTGAAAGAAGTAGAAGCCTTGTGAATGTGGCTGGTCCTGTCAGCCATCCAGATGACCAATTCCCGGGCCTCCTCATAAAGGCGCATTGTTTGCCAGGGAGTCTGCGGCCTTCCTGCTTCTGTTAATGATTTAATTAACAACAGGAAGTAAGTGGAATAAAATTGTACATAGTATGTCTGACATGCTCTTGTACTTCATCCTCTAAAAAAAAATAATCCACAATAGGTGGTAATTTATGTGCAAAAAATTTATTTATCATAGGTTGTAGTATTTTTCCCCTCGTTGAATCTGGAATCCACATCCAGGAATGATCTCTTACACTGCATAGTGCCCCTCAAAGCACATGATCTTCTGTGATCGTCATCACCAGCCCCACTTCAACAGGAGGGCAGGTGATGATATGAGTCTCATATCATTGAGGAAACAGATAATTCAAGAAATAATTGGCTTAGTTATATAATGTCACAAAATCTGAATTTTAGAACCCTCTTAGTGGGCTAAGAGAATTGCTTTGGTTAGATTTTTTAAATTAGGGAAGTTGTGAACATGTGTCCAGCTTTGTAAGATTTTGATGCACAGCATTCATGATGACATTTTTTTACCCTGTGGGTTTTCTTTCATGGATCAGAACTCCTCTGGTTGAACTGAGCGTGTGAGGGAACGAACAAAAACAACCATCCTCACAAACCTGCTCTTTACAAAGGCTTGAAGGACTTTCCCCCAAAGGCCATGGGTGTAGGAGTTTCAAAAGGAACCCCAGGTAAATTTGTAGGCTGTGACAAGAAACACAAAAGCTGGTATCTGGCCAGCTGCCACTGTAAAAGGGACACAGAGAAGGTTCAACAGCCCCTGTCTGTTCTGCAGCCCTGCCTCTTTGTTTCAAAGCCTGCTCTCCCATTTTTCTCAGTACGTATCTGTCTTTTCTAGCAGATGCCTGGCATTCAATGAGAAATCCAGCTTTGTGACTTCGACCTTTATGCAATTAAGTTTAAGCCTACTGTGCTTAATTGTATGAGAGGCAGGCCATGGTGCTACCACATCTGACTCCTGAGTAGGGAACTGCAGGTGCTTAATTTTATGCTGTGCATGAAGAACACGGGTCTTAGGAAAGGACTCTACTTGCAGATATTTATGTGGAACGTCTCTTCTCAGTCTTCTTTCTCTCCCTGGGTGCCATGTGTTTTAAGCAGAATGTTCCGCCACAGCCCACTGCATACTGTGATGGATTTTGTGTTTGTTTGCTTCCCTCTCTGCTCCTTCACACTGAAGGCTGTGGAGAGCAAGAAACCCTGTTTTACTCACTTTGCAACCCCATCTTAGTACAGGGCTCATGCAAAGGCAGGAGGCGCTCAGTGGGTGTTGGTCTAAGGGAGCAGCGTTCGGGTGTCTTAGACGTTGATGTGCCCAGGTCCACACGAGTGGCGTTACTTATTCTCTCACTTTATTTGGGCAAAGGGAAAAGTCTGCGAACGGGGTGTGGGGTGGACTGTGAATTAATGTTGATTGTTTCATATTGTCCCTGGAGAAGATAGCTGTCTGGAAGTGAGCCCTGGGCTTGATATCTCAGTTTAATAATGGGTAGGTCTGTGCCCTGGCTTTTTTTTGTTCTCAGAATTCCCTCTTATATTGAGGGAGTCTCCTCCCTGCTTTAGGGAGGCAGTGCTTTCTGCTGCATAGTGGGAAGCAGCTCCTTGGCAGGGCTCTGGGAGGCCCCGGGGAAAGTTGTGCGGTTTTGACGGCATGTAAGAGGGGGTGGGACTGGCTTCATTGAAGCCATTTCAAGAAGCGGCTCCTTTCATTGAGGACAACAAGGAGTGTCTTGTTCTGTCCTCTCGAGTCTCTGTGAGAGGCTGCCGTGTCTAAGGGATGCCATTAGCATCCAGGCAGCATGCCACACGAGTGAAAGGTTTCATCTGGATTTCAGGGTCAGGCCTGTCACTGAAACTGGCCACTCGGTGCCAGAGGCGGGCTGTGCCTGGGAGTCTAACTGAAGGGCCGCAGACAGGAGTCAGGGCCGTGTGAAGACGCACGGTAAGGCAAGGAGGAGGCTGACTTGTTTGGGAATGGCACGTGGATCATTTTAGATGTCTCTTGGTGAACAATTTTTCCATCTGTACAGTATTATTTAGTTTTCAGTTACCTTTGTACTTTGGAAATTTCCAGTTGAGCCCGAGTAAAAAATAGATCTTATATCTGACAGAGATGATATCAAGGATTTAAGTGTTGGCTTAAGATTATCTTAAAGAAGGCTGTGCTTTATAAAACTTGTTCCTTATAAAACCACCCCGAGGCCCTTTGTGTCCTATACTATTTTTGTTTTGTTTTGTTTTTTAAAGCAAGCCGTATCATCGGTTTCTACACAAATTGTGCACATTACTACCTGCTGCATCAGCTTGATTAGGGCCCAGCCTCATTTTCTTAACTAAGTCTGTCTTTCAGCACATCGCAGTTTCCAGCCTTCCTGACTTCCCTCATTACTTTGAGAGCACCTGATAGGGAGCATCACCTTCTAGATCCCAGACTGCCTTCTTTTTTTTTTTTTTTTTTTTTTTTAATTTTTTTAATGTTTTATTTTATTTTCGAGAGAGAGACACAGAATCCAAAGCAGGCTCCAGGCTCCGAGCTGTCAGCATAGAGCCTGACATGGGGCTCGAACTCACGAGCTGTGAGATCATGACCTGAGCTGAAGTTGGACGCTCAACTGAGCCACCCAGGCACCCTACCTGGCTTATTTTCTGACTCCATCACTAAGCTGTGTCACTGTGCACAAATGCTTATTAACACTCCAGCTTTGTCCTCTGGAGGGTGTGGGGGGGGAGGAATGGTAATATTTAATTTCAGTATTGTCCTAAAGATTAAATTAGATGGTACTCACCAAATACAAAAAAGTAGCACAGCTGGCACTAAGTGCTCTAATAACTATTTAGAACAAGATCCAATGCCTTACCTCCTGAAGTTTATGGCCAAGAGAAACAGACAAGCCACTAAATGGGGGTCAGTATGTGATGAGTGGTCATGATCATCCGGTTAACAGATCTTTATAGGCCTTGGTTATGTTCTGGAGATACGGCAGTGAACTGAACGGGCAAGATGCCTGCCTTCGTGAGGCTTCCAGCTGGCCAGCAACGGGATAGGGCTGAGCAGAGGAGTGCGTGGGAGCAGAATTGGCAAACCGGATGGGGATGGAGGTGTGGGCTCCTGCATCAGAGGAGGCCAGCTGGAGACGGTGAGGCTTGTGTTTGCAAGATTGAGTGGACATGCTGAAGAATTCCATTATAAAGTACACTACAGGTAAAATGAGTCTCTGGTGGTCGTTCCCTTTGTGGGAGGTTATTGGTGGGAAAGGGACACAAGGTGTTGGGTGCACCTACATAAGCACTCACAGATCTGTATACACTTAAGATTAGTGCATTGTTTTATGGATGTTCTTCATTAATGATGAGTATGAGGGGTGGAAACAGAGGTTCTACTTGAGAGTGGGAACGGGCAGGAAAGGGTGTGGAACAGTGTGGCATGCCCCAGGCTCACAAGCAGTCTGTGTGGAAGGATGCTTGAGGGGCGGAGAAGATGGGGCAAGGGTGACAACCATCTTTAGGTACAAGCTGTTACAGGAGAAAAAAATGTATTTCAAGTACGGGCATAAAGGTGCCCCTTCTTAAGACAGTGGAGTGCCTTATAAAAACTGGCGACTTGTATCACTTGCCTTGGGACCTCCACACAGCCTTCTTTCTCATCCTTTAAATGGGTTTTTGGAGGATTACATGAAGTAATGGATGTCACATGCTTGTGTCTGCTATGTAGTATGGGTTAGTTACTAAGTGCCTCAAAGATTTTAAAGTGTGTGTGTGAGCCTTATTTACTTAATTGCAATCTTGATACTGGACCTTCGGAGGATAACTGAATTATGGAATAATGCTTATCTGAAACTTCTGATCCTTTAAATAATTGTTTTGTTTCATGTAATGATGGCTTTATATAAAAAGTCCCAGTTCGTTTTTTCCCTCAACATTTTTTTTGGCTGTATTCATTAAGCCATTTTAAGCATTTGTGAACAGTCTAAAAACGTTCAAAGAATTTTTATTTCAATAAGGCTCATGTTTGGCAGTATTAGCTGTATAAAGAACTACACAACTTTAAATAGGTCAAGTTTCTCATCTTTGTGAAATGGTTTGAGTGTGGGGAAAGAAGAGAGTGTAGAGAAAGTGATTTACTAGGAGTTTTTTTAAATGAAATTCACCTTTTTGAAATGTTAAAATATCAGATTGAATATACTAAATATCTTTATGTGATTATGTGATAGTGTAATCAGCTCTTTATTAAATAGTGGTGTCATGGGCGCCTGGGTGGCGCAGTCGGTTAAGCGTCCGACTTCAGCCAGGTCACGATCTCGCGGTCCGCGAGTTTGAGCCCCGCTTCGGGCTCTGGGCTGATGGCTCGGAGCCTGGAGCCTGTTTCCGATTCTGTGTCTCCCTCTCTCTCTGCCCCTCCCCTGTTCATGCTCTGTCTCTCTCTGTCCCAAAAATAAATAAACGTTCAAAAAAAAAATAATAATAAAAAAAATAGTGGTGTCATATGTAAGAGATGAATCACTGGGTTCGACACCTGTAGCCAAAACCACTCTGTATGTTAACTAACTTGAATTTAAATTTAAAAAATGTTGAGGGGCAACTGGATGGCTCAGTCGGTTTAGCGTCCGACATCAGCTCAGGTCATGATCTTGTGGTTCCTGAGTTTGAACCCCCACATTGGACTCTGTGCTGATAGCTCAGAGTCTGGACCCTGCTTCGGATTCTGTGTCTCCCTCTCTCTCTCTCTACATCTCCTCTGCTCATGCTCTGTGTCTTTCTCTCACAAAAAATAAACATTAAAAAAATTTAAAAATGTTAAACTTAAATTCTGTTTAATCAATAATTAGTCAAATTCATTCAGAATCTGTTTTAACAGTGTTGACTAATTTTCAGCCTAGATTCCCCAGGTTATCCTTTTTAAATAACTCATACACCCCCATAACTCTCTGGGGAGTCTCTCCCTGTTTTCTGGGAATGGCTTTGCATTGTGTCCAGACACCTTGAATCTCTCAGTTGGATATGCTCTGTGTGTTTTAGGAGCGAGCGAGCCCGCTGGATCACCGCCCTGGGACACAGTAGCGGGAAGCAACCTCTGGACCGAACCTGTAAGTACCTGGAGGGCAGCCTGCTCTGGAATGTGGAGGGGCTGTGCCCCCTGCTGGACGCTGGGTTAATAGTGCTTAATGGCCACAATACCCGCACTGTAAGTTTCCTCCAGGCTTTCCTTCCTGTGGCCCTACGTCAGAACTGTGTGATCCCTGCCTTGGAGGTCAGGGGGTCTGAATTCAAATCCAAGGTGCAGTTCTTTGTTGCATAAACGTGGCCAATTGTTGCACAGCCTTCCTGAGCCTATGCATCTGCAAGTCAGGGGTATCCCTATATACAATGCAGGGATATTGTCAGGATTAAGTTAAGTAACTTACATTGAAAGCTCTGCTTGTACTGTAAACCTCTTCGATTTTCAGCAGTTGTTAGTGGGCAGGAGTTGCACGTTTAAGCCTTCTCCATACTGACAGTCTGAATGAAAGTGGAATGTATTTTTTAATCTTAAAGAAAATTATGTTACCATTCCTTTTGACCTTATTTATTAAAGTGATAACATTAAGAAAATACATTTCCTTCTTCTAGGGAAGTAGAAACTGATGCAGTAAATAAAGGGTGGTGTCATTTGCTTAGTAGCACCTTGACTTTGATTTTATGTTTTTCTGGATGTTTCTAGCTGGACGGTCAAAACGAAAGAACTAGGACAGCCAGAGTGGTTAGCTTGGAGCACTCAGAGATCATAGCTTTAGGCTTAGAGCCAAAGCTAAAGTGATTGGTTTAAAAGTTGCCTAAAATCAAGTTTTATTTTTAAAAAAAATTAAGAACTCATGTCAGTATCAAGTCACTGAGGTTACAATTGTTATGAGCCAGCATGTTGGGAGAACTCGAAATATTGTTTGACTTTCAGTTGGAGCTCCTTTTATTTCTGACCTTATTTGGCAGCTTTCCTGTGCTGGTGAACTAGGGAAAAGCCCCTGGGTGGGAACCGGGAGAATGGGGGTACTGCAGATTTTATCACTAGTTGCATGGCCTTGGCACATCACCTAATCTGTCTGGCCTCAGTTTCCCCAATGCACAATGGCTGTTGTCTGCTCTATTATGTGACATGACTAATGGCTCCTTATCAAGGTTATTTTTGAGGGGATGCATGCATCAAAAAAGGCTTCTCTTGATCCTGAGCTTCTAAAGTTCTAAAGCTCTTAGCCAAATAAGACTGTTCGAGGAACAGAGTTTCTGCTTGATAGAAACTTAACTTGTTTCTGTCAAGCTGGCCTTGAATTGCACAGAAAGAGTGAGTAAATATACTGTATTGATTTGTACCTGTTCTGCTACTGGGAGCTTAGTATGTCCCCTTTACCCCCGCAGCACTGACGCAGGTAGAAATCATTAGATCCTTCACTGCCAAACAGCCAGACGAACTCTCCCTACAGGTGGCGGATGTGGTTCTCATCTATCAACGTGTCAGCGATGGTAAGTGGGGGTTCTTAGGGATACTCCTGGTGCAGCATTCAGGGTGCCAAAGAACCAAAGAGTCTCATTTCATTATTAAAGCTCGCTCATATTTCATATCCCTTTGGTTTGTTTGCTCATTTGCTCCTGCCTTTCCTCTAGCTACACCATTGCTTTTGTTTCTGAATAGGAAGGCAGTCACATGGTGTATTATTCAAAAGGAACCATGTTTCCCTTCCTTCCTACTCCCCCAGTGACTTCTCATTTTGAGGTTCTTCCTTCCTCACTTAAGGAAAAAAAAATCCTTTTCCTGCTGCCCCTACCTATGCACAGCATCCCCTTCTCCAGCCCAGCCCCAGCTCCCAGGCTCTCTTCAACCTTCTCCCTTCAGGGTTCCTGATTGTGTGCCACCTCGGGTATGTCATTCATTCCTCCTTGAGGCCCTTCCCTATGTTGCACTTTCTCCTCACCTTCCATCACGTCATGCACAAGCTGGGGTACATCCTCCTCAGAGCCAGGCAGGGTCCAGATTCATCCAGACACTCATTGCTTCATGAAGACTCTGTTCCTGTTTGCAGGCTGGTATGAGGGGGAACGACTGCGAGACGGAGAGAGAGGCTGGTTTCCTATGGAATGTGCCAAGGAGATAACCTGTCAGGCTACAATTGACAAGAACGTGGAGAGAATGGGACGCTTGCTAGGACTGGAAACCAATGTGTAGCCTCTCGACGGCCTTGCGTTACCGCGAGATTTGCACTACATCACAGCGGGCTGCTTGGTTCTGGGCCGGCTTTGTTGTGAATTTTAACACAGCCTGTTTAATTAAAAGAATGAAAACACTTGCCTTTAAGCTTGCCAGGTGGTTATGCTCTCTCATGAGAACAGCTACCAGTTGGTTCGCAAGGTTCGGTGTGTGCACAGCCATCCACTTGCAAACTTCCTTAGGTCCGCAGATAGCCGAGCAGTCCACTTCAGGGACCAGGCCGCCTCTCAGCTCCTCCTACGTTCACCATTTTCTGGCATTAAAAATGTATATTAGATGCTGTACCCTGGTCTTCTCTTTCCTCACTTTGCCAAGGATGTTTCTGTCCCCCTTTTGACATTTCCTTTACATGGTTTTCCCAGTATTAGCAAGAGTTGTTTTTAAAGAATGCCCAGTTTTGTAAATATGTTTTCTGCCTTTTGTATTTTAGATGATTCTAATGCTATGAGGATTTCATAAGGAGCTGGTAGAGCTCAAAAGATGAGCTATTGAGTTTTTCTAAAATTTTTCCCAGGAAAGGGAAATTGACACTTGAATTTTTGCCACCTCTTTTCTCCTTAGGAGAGAAGCTTACTTAGGAGATTTTCTTTTTAGATTCACCTCACCCAATACTGGTATAGCCTGATAAAACTCGAGCTACTCTAATAAGATAGGATTTAGATGGTTCACATAAGTGACAAAATCCTGAATGTAGGACAGGGGTCATACTTTTTAAAAAAATATTCCCAAGTGAGCTGATAAACTGACATGAGGCTGCTTTGCCTTTAATAATTTTTTGCCTTTTATAATTTAATATTTTTGACTGTTCCTACTCCTGTTCCAAACAGGCAATTGGCTGAAATACAGTCTCAAGGAAGGTAAAATTTAGGCCTCACCAAGGTATCAAGATGCCAGCCTGGTACCTAATTGAAGCATAACAGTTTGGTCTTAATGGGAATCCGTTTCATATGTCCTAAGGGTCTTGTTTGCTGGATCTGGAGGATCTCTTAACTGTGGGTGTCTGCAGAACTTCATTTCTTCCATTGGTGCAAGGAGAGAGAAAAATAACTTTAATAGTACATTTCATAGGGAGTGACGGTTTGGAAGATGGAGAGAGGGGAAAGTAACTTTTACCGGCAGCTATGTTCCTCTCTACTCCATTTTTCTCCCACAAAGGGACAAACACCTGGCAAAGGGTACATTATTCGAGGACTCAGATCTGTGTGTGACATGTCCCATCTACTGCCTGCCAACCAGGTACCCAGATCATGAGTGAAGTGAGTAAAGCAGAAGCACAGTGTGGTTGCTCAGTATTGGCTCACACGGGGCCTTCTGGTCCCTTGTTTGCTCTCCTTTGCTTATGCATATATAGTGCTGGATGTAAAAGACATGCCAGGCCCTGAGTTCCTGGAGGTCGGGGCCACTCAGTGAATTGATGGCAAGAGATGTCTCCAGGTTGGTAAACAAGGCATTGGTCTCCTCTTTCATGTCACAGACCCTTTAGAGGAGAGATTAAAAAGGTTCTAATCTAATTTCATGTGATGTTTGCATTTAGGAAGGAAAGTAAATTCATTGCTTGCAAAGGGGATCATTTCGTATTAGTTTCGCTAATATCCATTTGAAGCTAAAAAGCAACTATAGGAATCCTGTGAATTAATTTATAAGTAGAGATGTTAAACAGTCTTGGAAATATGTGCATTTTATAAATCAAAGCCTTATTTAGCAAGCAGTTAATACTGTTATTGGATAAAGTGTTATACAGCAGGTACTTAACATTATTCACAATGTTTAATTTCAACAGTGAATTGTAATTTTTACATGACACAGTACTGTTTTCAAACCTAGTTCCATTTCTATGAATAGCTTCTTGGAATTGTACAAGGACTTCAGTGACCTGTGGAGAACAAAAATACTCATTTTTGTCTCAGTGAATTGATACTGCTTGTATACTTTTGGTGAAATAAGTGAATTTATAAAGATTTTGTATATACTTGTTCTTTAGTACTTGTGTGATTTAATTCACTATAGAATGCAGTAAGTACATAATTTGCTGAATTTTGGGTCAAATCAGAGGTCTATTCAGAAGGGATCTATAGCTAACGTTCGAGGCCACTGATCTTTCCTTGTTGGGTAGATGGTGGCATCAGCTGCCCCAGAAGGCTGGGGCCTAAGGAGCTGGGCCGTGATTTCTTCTCAGTTTCCACAAAAGTACACAACTGAACAGCCTATCTTAAGTAGTCTGTGGTTCCCCGTTATATCCTACTCATTTTGGCCACCTAGTAGCCAAACCTTTGTGCTTGTGAAATTTCACCACTTTGTGAATCTTGGTGGAATGCGAAGACTGACTCCTGTATTTTCTTTTACTGCGTGACAGATTACCACAAACTTTATGCCTTAAGCCACACCCATTTATTGTCTCACGGTTGTGTAGTAAGAAGGCCAATATGGCAATATGGCATGGTAGGTTCTCTGCTTAGTCTCAGTCTCACTAGGCTGACATCAAAGTGTTGGCTGGCTGCTTTCTCAGCCAGAGCTTGGTATCTTTCATGCTCAGGTTATCTTTCATGCTCATACCTGTGGTTGGCAGAATTCGGTTCCTTGTAGTTGTAGGACCAAGAACCCTGCTTTTTTGCTGGCTGCCAGGGGTGGGGGTTGCTCACAGCTTCTTGGATCTGTTCCTTCATCTTCAAGGCAGCTGTGGCATGTTTAATCTTTTTCACATTTGCAATCTGACTCCATCTTACGCTACCAGCTGGAGAAAACTCTGCTTTTAAGGAACTCACATAATTATTAGACCTACAACAGGATAATCACTCTTAGGATTAACTCAGAATAAACTGATTTGGGACCTTAATTAGATCCACAAAATTCCTTTACCATGCAACATCACATAACCACAGATGCAACACGTGGGGGGAGGGGGCAGGGATAATGTGGGTCATGTTAAAATTCTGCCTACACCACCACTTGTAAGTCGTAAAACGCTAATTAGTTCCCCTGTATCATGTATCTAGTCATAATACAGCCATGTGATAGGAAACACCAAAGGCATCTTTGTTGGATTTTTCCTCAAGCCAGTGATGGAAGAGGAAAGAGATGGGTATACCTTCTCTGCACCTAGCAAGATCCATTCCCCTCTTTACTCCCTCCTCCATATCCCAAATTACCGCTGCATTTTCCCTGGACTTTAGAAAGCAGCAGAGGCAGAGCCACTTGGGGGACTGCAGTGCCAAATAACGCAGGGCAGAGTTTAGTGCCTACAGTTATCACTCTTGTGCATTAAATCTCCAAAGGGCTTGTTCTGGAGTGAGGATATGAGCTTGGAGGACCGCAAACTTTGCTCTTTGGGCTTCTAGCACACTGAGGTCCTGACAAAAGCAAGTTAAGCCTTACTCTGCAGGAAGCTAGCATCCTCTTAGTTCTCAGTTATTTCCAAAAACAGTTTCTCAAAAGGTTCCACAAATTAGCAAACATTTGGGAGACACAGCATCAATGATACAGAAAAAACATACTTACAGGGACTCTAGTGAAATCATTACATGCATAGAACAATTATAACCACCACCTTTATAGAGATAAATCTCAGCCAAACTTTAAAATGCAACACAGTACAAAACAACTGTAAGAAGCAACTGAGGGGGGAAAAAAAACCACCACCACTAGAAATTATGGAACTAGGTTTAACAGATTAGGTAGTTGGTGAACTGGAAGAGAGGCTAGGAGAAACACCCACAAAGAAGCATATAGAGAAGAGATAAGGAAAATGCAGAGGTTCATTTGGAGTCCCAGATGAGTGGAGAGACAGGGAGCATTGGAAAAGGGACTATACCTTTAGAAACTGCTCTAATTGGTCATAGGATGGAGGCTTTCCGCAGGGGGAAGTGGCCTTGGGTAAGGTGATTCCCATCAGCTGAGGACAATTCCTGTAGAGGGCTGATGGGTGAAGGCAGTCATCTGACAGCACTTGCAGCAGCTAAGGACATATTCCTTCAGTCCTGAGGGAGGAACTGGGCAGAACATCCCAATATTCACAATATTTACTACATGTAGCTATGTCAATATTAGACAAAATAGGTTTTAAGATAAAAGGTATGACTAGGGACAGAGAGACCCTAGATAATGATGCAAGTTTTATTGAACCAGGAAGATAAAATCCATGTATATTTTCTCTCAATAATATG